TATATTACCTCACACCTGTCAGGATGGCTATTATCAAAAAAAGATAATAAGTACTAACAAGGAAGTGGAGAAAGTAGAATCCTTGTCCACTGTTGGTGGGAATGCAAAAATGGAAAGCATTATGGAAAGCAGTATGGAGATTCCTCAAAATATTAAAAATACAATTACCAGCTGGGCACAGTGGTTCACGCCTGTAATCCCTGCACTTTAGGAGGCTGAGGTGAGAGGACTGCCTGAGTCCAGGGGTTTGCAACCAGCCCGGTCAACTTGGTGAGACCTCGTTTCTACATTAAATGAAAAAATTAGCCGGGCATGGTGTGCTCGCCTGTGGTTCCAGCCACTTGGAAGGACCTGAGCTCAGTAGGTCGAGGCTGTGGTGGCCATGAGCATGCCACTGCACTCCAACCTGGGTGACAGAGTGAGAATCCAACTCAAAAAAAAAAAAAATACAATTACCATATAATTCAGCAATCCCTCTTCTGGGTAAATATCAAAAATATTGAAATTAGGATCTTACAGTGATATTAGCACTTCTATGTTCACTGATGCACTACTCACAATAGCCTAGATTTGAAAACAAACTAAATATCCATCAAGAGATGAATGAATAAAGAAAATGTGATATATACATACAATGGAATTCTATTCCGCCTTGAAAAAGAAGATTCTGCAATACGCAACAACATGGATGAACCTTGAGGATATTATGTTATGTGAAATAAGCCAATTACAGAAAGACAAATGGGTCCATTTATACAAGGTATCTAAAAAGTAAAATTCATAGAATTGAAGAGCAAAATGGTGATTGCCAGAGGCCAAGGGGAGAGAGAAACGGGAAGTTACAAACCAATGAACAAAAAGTTTAAGTTAATCCAGATGAATAAGTATTAAAGATATGCTGTACAACACTGCATCTATAATCAATAATGATGCATTGTACACTTAAAAGTTGGTTAAGAAATTAGTTCTCATTTTAAGGTTCTTAGCACGATAAATAAAAATGACAAATTAAAATTTCAAAAGTAATAAGTCTTGGCCAGATGCAATGGCTCATGCCTAATAGTCCCAGCCCTTTGGGAGGCTGAGGCAGGAGGCTTACTTGAGAACAGTCTGAACAACACAGCAAGTTCCCATTGCTACTAAAAATGCTAAAATTAGCTGGGCACGGTGGTGTGCACCTGTAGCACCAGCTACTCAAGAGGCTGAAGTGGGAGGATCACTTCAGCCTCTTGTTTAAGGTTGCAATGAACTATGATCGCCTCATTGCACTCTAGCCTGGGTGGCACAGCAAGACTCTGTCTCAAAAAAAAACAAATCTTAAAAGAGCAAATACTTCAGCAAAAAGATAACATCCAAGCCTATTATTAGTACCTAGAACTTTCTGGTTCATTCTAGGATCAGTTGTTTAATTATACTCTTAACAAAATAAGCCTAGTACAGAACCTGGAAAATAAGTACTTAGCAAAATCACTGCATGACGAAAAATTTTAGGAAGTTCTTTCAGCAATGAACTTTTCAGTACTGACATTCTGAACTCTAAATCAATAATATTCTCTAGTCCCTTTATTCATAAGCATGCTACTCTTCTACCTTTCAAAGAACTCAATGAGCCCTCATTTACCAAAATCATGACAGAAGTTTTTCCTGACAAGCTACATTTCTTAAGTATGAAATTAATCTTTTCTAAGTTGTTTCTAACTTAAGAGATCAGATATTTTGTTGAAGGAAACATTCTAACACTAAAAACATTCTAACTTAAGAAATAACAGATTGCTCATAGTCATAGCTGTTTCCCAGGCCAAAGAACAGTCCGGGGAGCTACTCCTAGCAGAATACCCCAGATCAGCAGAGCAACCTTGCACCCATGTCCCAAGCCTGAGAAACAAACTTACAACCTGCTCTAGGTAGACATGCCAAGTCAGCTGAGCAACTGTGTGCTCCTGGTCTCAGGCAGAGTAACAGTTCCACAGCCCCAACACTCATGAGCCATGCCCAATTGTAGCTAACCCAGTGTATGCACACACATGCTACCAACCAGAAGAATAGCCAGGCAAGCCTACCATCAGAAAAACTGTACTACTGATGCCACAAACTCTCTCAGCCTAGGCTACCTGCAAACGCCATTGGTATGGATTATAGCTGAAGAAACAACATAGAGACTAACTACACCACTGCTTCCACCTAGAACCAAGGACAATACACTCCACCAAACTGACACCCCCAAGACCTATTTATATAAATAAGTCTTCCCCTATGAAACTATGTCATAAAATTGGAAGAGGCAACTTTTGTACCATATGTCTAGAAATCAACCTATGGACAAATCAATCATGGTAAAGCAAGAAAATATGTTACTTCCAAAGAAAAACAATAATCCTCTAGTAACAGATCCCAATCATAAAATATATGAAGTGCCAGAAAAAGAATTCAAAATAATAATCTTAAGGAAACTCAGTGAGACAAAAGAGAATACAGATAGGACAATTCAACAAAATCAGGAAAACAATCCATGATTTGAATGGGATATTCAACAAAGAGATAGATATCATAAAAAAGAACCAATCAGAAATCTTAGCAAAGAAGAATTCAATGAGTAAAATTAAAAAAAAAAAAGAGAACTTCAAAAACAGACTAGAAAGCAGAAGAAAGCATTTGTAAACTTGAAGACAGCATTTGTAAACTTTGAAATAACAGAAAGAAGGAAGGAAGGAAGGAAGGAAGGAAGGAAGGGAGGAGGGAGGGAGGGAGGGAGGGAGGGAGGAAGGAAGGAAGGAAGGAAGGAAGGAAGGAAGGAAGACAAAAAAGAAAGAAAAAGCCTAGCCTGTAGAATTTATGAGACACCAGTAAGCAAATAAATCAAATATTTGCATTTTGGGCATTTCAGAAGGAGAAGAGTAGGGAAAAGGTAAGAAGAACATTTAATGAAATAATATCAGAAAAATTTCCAAGTCTTGGGAGATAGATGAACATCAGGAGGTTCTAAGTACCTCAGATAGACTTAGCCCAAACAGGTCCTGTCTGAGACACATTATAGTCAAATTTTCAAGTCAAAGACAAAGAAAGAATTTTAAAAGCAACAAGAGAAAAGCATCAAGTCACATATAAGGGAATCCCCATTAAACTAACAACTGATTTCTTAGCAGAAATCTTACAGGCCAGGAGAGACTGGGATAATATATTCAAAGTACTGAAAGAAAAAAATGGCCAGCCAACAGTATTATATTTAGCAAAGCTATCTTTCAGAAATAAAAGAAAAATCAAATCTTTCACAGACAAGTGAAAAGTAGGGGAATTCATCACAACTAGACCAGCCTTACATGACATATTCAAGGAAATCTGACATCTGGAAGTGAAAAGATGATAACTACCACCATGAAAACATGAGAAACTATAAAACTCACTGGTGGTACTGATACACAAACGAGAAAGGGAAAGGAATAAAATCTTATCACTACAGAAAACCACCCAACTGCAAAAATAAACAAGACAGGAAGGAACAAAGAATATACAAAACAATCAATAAATGGACAGTATTAATACTGCACCAATAAATAGTAGTCCTGAATGTAAATGGATAAAATCCCCCCAAAAACAAAGGCTATCTGAAGGAATAAAAAAATAAGACCCAACTATATGTTGCCTACAAGGAACTCACCTTACCTGTGAAGATAACACATCATAGACTAAAAGCAAAAGGATAGAAAAAGATATTCCATGCAAACAGAAACCAAAAGTAAGCAGAAGTAGCTATATTTATATCATAGGGGAAGATATATTTATATAAATAGGTCTTGGGGGTGTCAAGTTAAAAGCTGTAAAAAGAGACAAAGACACTGTATAACAATAAAGAGATTAACTCAGTATGAGAATATAATAATTGTAAATATTATGGATCCAACACTAGTGCATTAGTATATAAAGCAAATATTATTACATCTAAAAGGGAAGATAGATATATACAACAATATACAGTAATAGTTGGAATTTCAATACCCCACTCTCAGCATCTAGCACCTCCATGTATACTGCAGCACTAATCATAATAGCAACGATATGGAAACAACCAACAGTTGAACAGATAAAGAAAATGTTGTGTATATATAAAATAATGGAATATTTTTCAGTCATAAAAGAATGAAATCCTGTCATTCATGGCAACCTGGATGGAACCGGAGGACACTGTGTTAAGTGAAATATGCCAAGAACAGGAAGTCAAACACTGCATGTTCTCAGTCATGTGGAAGCCAAAGAAAACTAATCTCCTAGAAGTAAAAATTAGACCAGTGGCTACTAGAGAATGGGAAAAATAGAGAGAAGAAAGGGAAATGGAAAAGCCTGCTAAAACCTATAAAATTCCAGCTTGACAGGAAGAAAAAATTCTACTGTTCTATACCATTACAGGATGACAATAGTTAACAATAATATATCATATAGTTTCAAAAACTAGAAAAAGGATATTGAATGTTCCCAACAGAAAGAAATGATAAACATCTGACATGATGAATAAGCTCATTTCCTGATCTGGTCACTATACATTACATGTATTGGAACATCATTATGTTACCCCATAAATATGTAATTATTACTTGTTGACTAAAAAAATAAATAAATACTAGACTTCTCAGAATGAAAATGAAACTCACCAGTACATAATAACCAGGGTTGTTTTCTGACACTTTTCCACAGATATGCTCATAACAAAGTGTCAGTCTACCAGCCGTGACCAAAATAATTCCACCTTCAAGTTCTTTCGAAATTTCAAGATTGCTGCCATATCCCAGGCATTTATATATATGGAGTCTATGACTTTAGGACTATCTCTAGGCTTTTTTTGCTGGATAGCTGAAAACCTAGTCAGGCTAAACAAATCCCTAGCAGATTTAAAGGAGCATAATAAAAAGTAAATGACTTTAGTTATTTACTTACATGACTGCAATATCAAATGCATAAAAAAGCTATTTTCCTATATTCTAGTTCATTATAAATTCATGAAAAATTACCTTTTTCCTGAGAAAGCTTTTCCTCCTGGCGTTGGTGGTGAGGTTTGTAAGGTGCTGCCCCCTGACTGAGTCCTTCAGCCACAAAACCATCAAGAAAAGACAAAGAAGCATCTACCTATATATTAAAATTAAGCAAAAATTAGAAATAAAAAAATCCATCCTAAACGATAGACTGTACATTCATGTAAGTAATATTAGCCTACATATTTTTTAGAAAAAAAAATTGTAAGTAAAAAAAATAGAAGCTTCAATTTTAAAAATGCTACCTAATTTTCTAGCTTTCTGAAATATCTATAAACACATCATTCGGCTAAGAATCTAGCAATGTAAATAACTTGCAGTTAATTATTAATTTCATGACAGAATGTATTTTTGAGAATCTAAATGTTAGGGCATCATAGCAGGTCCCATGATTGAGCCAAAGGAAGATACCAATTCCTACCCTCAGGAGAATTGTAACCTACTAGAAGAAACAGACACATATACTGAGGTGTAGACTACATTTGTTTCCTGCTATAGGGGACTAAAATAAAGGTTTTTGGCAGGGCTGGTTCCATCAGGGGAAACTCTGTGTCTTGTCTCTTCCAACTTCTAGAGACTACCAACATTCTTTGACTTGTGACCACATCATTCCAATCTCTGCTTCTGTTGTTACTCTGCCTTCTCTTCTCTGACCTCTTGCCTCGCTTTTATGAAAACTCTTGTGATTATATTATATCTATCTAGGTAATTTAGTAATCACCTCATCAAAAAATATTTAACTTCACCATATCTACAAAGTTCTCTTTAATATTTGGTCGGGTTTGGTGGCTCAGCCTGTAATCCCAGCACTTTGGGAGGCCAAGGCTAGTGCCTGGGCCTGCTGATTCGAGACCAACCCAGGCAATGTGGCAAGACCTTGTCTCTCAATACATCAAAAATTAATATGGGCGACAGAGTGAGACTCCAACTCAAAAAAAAAAAAAAATTAGCCAGGTAGTGTGTGCTTGTAGTTCCAGCTACTTGGAAAGCTGAGGCGGAGGGATCACCAGAGCCCAGCAGGTTGACACTGGGTGGCCGTGAACATGCCACCATACTCCAGCCTGGGGGACAGAGTGAGACTTCAACTCAAAAAAAAAAAAAAAATTTAAGGCAACACATGCAAGATTCTGGGGATTAAGACAGACATATTTGGGGAGGGCATTATTCAACCTCCTACAGTGCCTCTGATTTAACTATACTATTCTGTTCTTTTTTTTTTGAGTTGGAGTCTCACTCTGTCACCCAAGCTGGAGTTCAGTGACATGCTCATGGCCACTGCAACCCTGACCCACTGGGCTCAGGCAATCCTTTGCCTCAGCATTCCAAGTAGCTGGACCCATAGGCACATGCCACCATGCCCAGCTAATCTTTTTTATTTATTGTAGAGATGAGGTCTTGCCAAGTTGCCCAGGTTGGTCTCAAACCCATGGGCTCAAGCAATCCTCTCACTTCTGCCTCCCAAAGTGCTGAGACTGCGGGCGTGAGCCACTGCGCCAGCTCCTAGTATCTTTTAACTGAAAATGCCTCTTCACAAATCCACATAAAATTAACTTCAGAAAGAAAAAGGTACAAGAGAATGATTAAATTGAAAGATGAATAAATGATCAGAGGCAAATAAAAAGTGAGAAGGAAAAGAAAAAAGATTAAGGAGAGCAAGAAATATTACTGGTATACAAGAAGACAGAGCTGAGATGACTGCAGAAACCAAAGATTTGCTCTTCTGAAATTAGCCAAGTATATGTAAGCAGCTCAGATAATCTGGTACCTTGCTCTCTGAATTTGAAGAGGTTTAGCTTGAATACAACTTTTAAGAGATGGAGCTATACCATCATCATTATCTTTTATTGGTGGGGAAGGAATGTGTAGTTTTATATATAGCAATGAACATCTCTGGGATGCCTACCAAATGCTAAAGTAAGGTCTCTGCCCTTGAGAACTACTAAAAGAACGAATGAAGAAATGTTCAAAATGAATACCAGTCATGAAAACCTGAGTCAAAATTAGTGGGAATTATGCTGATATTCTTCTTTTTGTCAACTATATTTGATACCGAATACATACAAATTTGAAAAAAATCTGCTTGCTTAAGGGAGTTTTCTAATTCATGCCAATGTGAGGAAGAGCATGGTATATACTAAAGAAAATGAACATTAACTTAGAACTTTAGGTTAAAAGGAGTAATAGCTAAAATTAGGTGAGAGACAAAAAGGCAGATAGATATTCATGATCAAAAATGGAAAAGAATTTAGATAGTCGATGAACAAAATGAGATAACCAATTTTTCTCATTTTCAAAGAAAACAGAGTAGAAATAAAACAACTTATATTATAGAATCTCAAGGGAAATAAATAGAAAAGAACATAACATGTAGAGGTTCCTGAAGGGTGTTGGTGGCATGCCTGAGTAAGGCATAAAGATTCTAAGCCCCTTCCTGAATATCTCACCTTATGCATCTCTTCATCTGCATCCTTTCTAATATAGTTCATAATAAAACCAATAAGCTAACATAAATTAAGAAAAAATTGTGGAATAATCCTAATGGGACACTGTCGAATTCATAATTCACTAACAAAACCATCTAGTGTCCAGTCCACTGCTGGCACCCAAGTATGCCACCTGGAGGCCCAAGAACTAACCCACCTGACTTGCCACCAGCAGCACCCACACACATTTCCCAAGAGTCTGAGGAAAAACACACCAAGCCTACCACTGGCACACAAAGACTGACCCACCTGATGTCCTGTCTCCAGCAAAGCCTTGCCACAACCTCTAGTAATAACTATAGTCTAGGCCACTGAGAAACTCACAGACCTCACTGATGTTACTTATGGCTGAAGAAATCATATGGAGACTACAATACTATAACCACCAAGAATCAGAGCCAAAGCATCCTAGTCAGCCAACATCACAGATTCATCTAAAGGAAAATGTTTTTCTCTATGAAAGCCAAACCATAAATTTAGAACTCACTGTTAGACCAGATACACAGATATCAACGTGAGGACACACGAAAAAAAAAAAACGAAAAAAGAAAGCAAAGAAACAGGACACCACCAAAGGAACACAATAATTTTCCAGTCACAGACCTCAGAAATAAAGAAAGCTATAAAATGCCTGAAAATTTTCATTATAATGATCTTAAGGAAACTCAGGGGGATAGAAGCAAATACAGATAAACAATACAAAAAAAAAATCATGAAAATAATTCATGATCTGAATGAGAAATTCAACAAAGAGTTAGATATAAATAAAAACCAAATAAAAATGTGGAACTAAAGAATTCAATGAATGAAATAAAAAACACAATCAAGAACTTCAATAATAGACTAAATCAAGGACAAGAAAGAATTCCTAAATTTCAGGACAGGTCTTTTGGAAAAAAAAAAAAGCCAGTCAATCAATAAAAAGGAATGCCTACATGATATATGGGACACATAAAGCAAACAAGTGGTTAAGTTTGGGGAGTTCAAAAAGGAGAAGAAATTCACAAAGGCATAAAACACCTATTTAACAAAATGATGGCTGAAAATTTTCCCATGCTGTACAAGAACTATAGACATAGTATATAGGGAGTGCAAGGGTTCCCAAAGAGATTCAATCTAAACAGGTCTCCAATCTAAATAAGTGTCTCCAATAGATCAAACTGTCAAAAATAAAAGGCAAAGAGACAATTCTAAAAACAGCAAAGGAAAAGCATCAAGTCACATATAAGGGAATCTCCATTAGATTAAAAGTGGATTTCCTAGAAACCTTACAGGAGAGAATGGGAAGCTATATTCATAGTGCTGGGAGAAAAATTACTGTCAACCAAGAATAGTATATCAGCAAAGTTATTCTTCAGAAATAAAGAATAGACTTTCACAGAAAAGCAAAAACAGAGAAAATTAACCCTCACTAGACCAGCCCCTACAGGAAATTCTTAAGGGAATTCTACATCTGAGAACAAAAAGATGTATCTACCAACATAAAAACACACAAAAGTATAAAACTCACTAGTGAAGCAGATACACAAACATGAAAGAGAAAGGAATCAAATGTTATCGCCAGACAAAAACCACCAAATCATAAAGGTTAACAATAAAAGAGGAAGAAAAGAACAGAGGGCATACAAAACACTCAGAAAAAAATAAACAAAATGACAAAAGTGAGTCCTCACATATCAATAACAACCAAGAACATAAACGGTTTAAATTCCCCAATTAAAAAATATAGACAGAGTAAGTGCTTAAAAATAAATGACATAACTATATTCTATCCACAAGAAACTCATCTCACCTGTAAAGACACTCATAGAAAGTGAAGGGACAAAAAAAAATATATTTTAAGACATTAAAGCTGGGCGTAGTGGCATACACCTATACAGCTACTTGGAAGGCTGAGGTGGAAGGATCTCCTGAGCCCAGCAGGTTGAGGCTGTAGAGGCTGTGAGCATGTGACTGCATTCCAGCCTGGGCATTCCAGTGAGACTCCAACTCAAAAAAAACACATACTTTAAGACTTTAAAGCAAAAAACATAGAAAGGACAAAAAAATTTATATAATGATAAAGGGATAATTTGGCAAGAGGATATAACAATTGTAAATACATATGAACCTGACACTGGAATACCCAGGTAAAACAAATATTATTAGACTAAAATGAAAGACAGACCACAATATAATAATAGTTGGGGATTTCAACAACCCACTATCAGCATTGGACAGACACGTCAGAGTTAATATGAATTATAGACTAAATGGACCTAAAGACATTTATAGAACATTCCATTCAACAGCTGCAGAATACATAATCTCCTTATCAGTATGGGGAACATTCTTCAGGATAAACCACATGTTAGGCCACAAAATAAGTCTTAACAGATTTTATAAAAGAGAAATCATATCAAGTATCCTCTCAAGCCACAATGGAATAACACTAAATATCAAGAAGTACTTTAAAAACTGTACAAACACATGAATTTTAAATAATATGCTCACAAATGACCACTGGGTCAGTGAAGAAATTTTAAAACTTTTTGAAATTAATGAAAATGGAAACATAACATCCCAAAACCTATGGGATACAGCAAAAACAGGGCTAAGTTATTTTTTTAACTTTGCTATACACAGGATGATATTTACAGCAATAAACAACTACATTAAAAAGTAGAAAGATTTTAAGTAATCTAATTATGTACTTCAAGAAAAGCAAGAACAGATCAAACCCAACACTAGTAGAAGAAAAGAGAAATAATGACCAGAGCGGGACTAGACAAAATATATTTTTTCAATGAAACAAGAAGCTGGCTTTCTGGAATGATCAACAAAATCAATAAACTGCTAGCAAGAAAAAAATTCCAAGTAAGTAAAACTAGAAATGAAAAAACAGACATTACAACTGAGAGCACAAAATACAAATGATGATTAGAGACTATGAACTACTAGTACACTAACAAATTGAAAAACCTAGAGGAAAGAAAGAACTACTAAATACATGACTGCACAAGGAAGAAATTAAAAACCCAAACAGATCAATAAAAAGTAGTAACAAGTCTTCCAACAAATAAAAAACTTAGAAACAAATGGCTCTACTGCTGAATTCTAGCAAACTAACACCAATTATTGTCAAACTATTCCAAAAATCTGAAGTAAAGAGCCCTCCATGTGCTAACTCATTCTACGAGGCCAACTATATCATTCTATGTGGCCAGCATTACCCTGATATCAAACCAGACAAAGACACAGCAAAAAAAGAAAACTACAGGCCAATATGCCTGAAGAATATAGATGTAAAAATCCTCAACAAAATACTAGCAAACTGAATCCAAACACATATCAAAAAGAAAATACACTATGATCAAATGGGATTTTCCCAAGGATGCAAGGATAGTTCAACATATGCAAATCACTAAATATGACACATCACATCAACAAAATGAAGAACAAAAACCATATGATTATCTCAGTAGATGCAGAAAAAGCATCTGATGGCATCCAACGTCCCTACATGATAAAATTTACTACAAATTAGTGTAGACATAGAAGGAATGTCCACAGGCATAGAAAGAACATATCTTAACATCATAAGGACCATATATGACAAACCCACAGCCAACTTCATAGTGAACAGTGTACCTGAAAGCCTTTCCTCTAAGAACTGGAACAAGACAAGGATGCCCACTTTCACCACTCTTACTCAACATAGTACTGGAAGTCCAAGCCAGAGCAGTTCAGCAGGAGAAAGAAATAAAGGCACCTAAATTGGAGCAGAGGCAGTCAAACTATCCCTCTTTGCAGATCACATGATCTTATAAGAAAAATCTACATAATTCACCAAAAAGTTCTTAGAACTGATAAATGAATTAAGTTATGTTGCAGGATACAAAATAAGTATACAAAGATCAGCTGCATTTCAATACACCAATAACATCAGCAAGAGCTAAAAAAAGAAACCAAGAAAGCAATCCTATTTACAATAGCTATGAAATAAATACCCAGGAATAAATTTAGCCTAGGAAATGAAAGACCTCTACAAGGAAAACTATAAAAACACTGATGACAAAACTGAAGAGGACACAAACAAATGGAAACACATTCCATGCTCATGGATCAGAAGAATTAATATTCTTAAAATGACCATACTACCTAAAGCAATCTACAGACTCAATGTAATCCCTATCAAAATATCATAGTAATAGAAAAAACAATCTTAAAATTAAAATGGAACCACCAAAGACTTTAAATAGCCAATGCAATACTAAGCAAAAAGAACAAAGTAGGAGACATCATACTACCTGACTTCTAAAGCACGTGTACTACCAAGCTATAGTAACCAAATTAGTACTGTACTGGTATAAAAAAGACATATAGACCAATGTAACAGAACAGAAAACTCAGAAATAAGTTCATGTACTTACAGTTTACTAATTTTCAACAAAAGCAACAAGAACAAACACTGGGGAAAGGACACTCTCTTCAAATAATGGTGTAGAAAAAGTAGATATCAACATACAGAAAAATAAAACCAGACTCCTCTCACCACATATAAAAATAAACTCAACATGATTAAGAAATTAAACAGGCCGGGTTCAGTGGCTCAGCCTGTAATCCCACGCTTTGGGAGGCCGAGGTGAGTGAATTGCCTCAGCCCACGGGTTCGAGACCCGCCTGGGCAACTTGGCGAGACCTCATCTCTACAATAAATCAAAAAAATTAGCCAGGCGTGGTAGCGCATGCCTGTAGTTCCAGCTACTTGGAAGGTTGAGGCGGAAGGATCACCGGAGCCCAGTAGGTAGAGGATGTGGTGGTTGGGAGTGTGCCACTGCACTCCAGTCTGGGCGACAGAGTGAGACTCCAACTCAAATAATAATAATAATAATAATAATTAAACATAAGACCCCAAACCATAGAAATACTAAAAGAAAGCAGAGAGGAAACACTTCAGAATATTGGTTTAAGCAAACACTTATTACTAAGACTTCAAAAGCACAGGCAACAAAAGCAAAAGTAGACAAATGGGACTATATTAAACTAAAAAGCTTCCACACAGAAAGGAAACAATCAACAGAACATAGAAGCACCTTGTTGAATGGGAGAAAAAAATCTGTAAATTATTCATTCAATAAGGGACTAATATTCAGAATATATACAAGGAACTCAACTGCAAGCAAAAACCCAAATAATTCCACTAAAAAGTGGGCAAGAAAATCTGAATAGACATTTCTCAAAAGAAGACATACAATTAGCCAACTGGTAAATGAAAAAATGTTCAACATCACTAATCATCAGAGAAATATAAATAAAAACCACAAGGAGATACCATCTCATTCCAGTTAGAGTGCCTATTATCACACACACACACAAAAGAAACTAACAAATGCTGATAAGGATGCAGAGAAAACGGAACACATACACTGTTGGTAGCAATGTAAATTAGTACAGCCATTAGAGAAAAAGTATGAAGTTGTCTCAAGAAACTAAAAACAGAACTATCATGCAATCCGGCAATTCCACTATTGGGTATTTATCCAAATCAATCTAAGTGTCCATCAACAGACAAACAGATAAGGAAAATGTGGTATATACAATGGAATATTATTTAGTCATAAAATAAGAATAAAATCCTGTCATTTGCAGCAAGATGGATGGAACTGAAGATCACTGTTAAAATAAGCAAGGTACAGAAAGACAAATTATCATATGTTCACTTATATGTGGGAACTAAAAATGTTCATCTCATAGAAGGAAGAATAGAATAGTTTCCAGAGGCTGGGAAGGGTTCAGGTGGTGGGATGAGGAGGAAGATAGGTTGGTTAATGGTTACTAATATATAATTAGCTAGAAGAAATAAGTCCTAGTGTTTGACAGCACAGCTGGGTGTCTATACTGTACAATAATTTACCGAATATTTCAAAATAGGCAGAAGAAAGGGTATGAAATGTTCTCAACACAAAGAAATGATAAATATTTGAGGTGATGGATATCCTACATATACTGACTTTATCATTATACATTGCATGTATGTATGAAAATATCACATGCACCTTATAAATATGTATAATTATTATTTATCAATTTTTTAAAAAGCCAATGATGAATAAATAAAATTCCTATCTTATTATATATTAAGAGATCATCACAGGATATATATCTTCATTGCAGTTCCCCAGAAAAGACATTCTTCTACTTGACTATTTCAGATCAGTACTGAATGAATGCACTCAAACTCTGTCACAGTAATGCAAGAAAGACTCTAATATTCACCCTAAATACTACAGAAATCATATTCTGACATATTCCTGATATATCACAAATGCAAGAATTATTCTAAGTTTAAAGACAACGCAGTTTTAAAAAAAAAAGAACCACAGATGTCTTACCACCATATCTTCACAACTCTTATCAACTGGAAGCAAGCTCTTCATAAGTCCTACATTCTGATGCAAATTCTTTAATTCAAATGCATGCTGTCTCATAAGAGTATCCAATGATATGGTAAATTCCTGGATTAATCTCTCAACTATATTAGGCGAGTGTGCTTGGGGTGTCAACTTGGTCACAGCAGCAATTAACCAAGCTTTTGTTTCTGAAGACACAGAGTCATTCATAAGCAACTTGTAAAGTTTAATTATAACTTTCTCTGGTGTTTCCTTATCTAAGAGGTAGGAATACTCTCCCAACACCTATGAATAAAACAAAGAGATGTTTACATGCAAATATCAAGTTATATAGTAAACTATACTCAACGATCTAAACCAAGTGCACATGGCTAGAGTAAATTTAATTAAACATTATCTCTTGGTGAAGAAAATACTAGATAAAGACACATTTGCACATTTTAGGTTCAAAATTATATCAAGAATTGAAAGTCAATATAAAATGGAACTATACCTTTGTCATTAACATTACATAAAGCAGCATATCTCTTACAAGTTAGCTTTCTTCTCAACTTCCAGAGTTAGTTCCCGGTTTTTACAAGCACTTTCACATTCTGTTATTATTTTCCAATAAACATTTAAATGCTGGTTCTCACATGCTAGTATACATAAAAGCCATCTGAGGTGCTTCATAAAAATACAGATTTCTAGGTGCTACCCCCAGATATTTTGATTTAGTATATCTGTGGTCAAGGAAATATATTTTTGATAAGCATCAGCTGATTCTGACATAAAGGGTCCACAGAAAAGACCCGGAGGAACATTGATCTATGTCACTATATCCTTTTACTTACACCTAACTTAGGTGATATATAGTCCTACTGGCCAAAGAATCATTAATAAACTGATAATTCAGGGAACGTGAAATCCTTCGTAAAAGATATTTATTAAATAATATCCTTTCTACTCCAGCCAAGCACCACACAGGAAAAAATTGCAGTCCCACCACACCAGCAAAGGAAGAGTGGAGAGCCAAGACTTCCACGCTTACCACACTATAGTAAGTTCTCTCAAACTCCCCGCTAGAGTGATGACTGAAAAGGCCAAGAGGGAAGTCACAACATTCATCCTTGCCAAGCTGCATAGAGGCCCATTCACCTGCAACGTCAGCGAAGGCCAGGCAGGAAGCTGACACTTCATATTCACCCAGAAGTAAAAGGTACCTGTGCCCTTCTCTTCTGAGATGTATCAGTGGAAGCCTGGTGGAGTCAGGACTTTCTCAACTACTTAGCAATAATGAAGCTACCTCCTTAGGGTGTCAGTGGAGGCCATAAAGTTGGGAATCTCAACATCTTTCTCTCGACAATTAACAGAACTAGACAGAGAATCAGCAAGGATATAGAAGAACTCAACACCATCATCAACAGAATTTAATCAACATTTATAGAACGTACCATTCAATAGCAGCAAAATACATATTCTTTTCAAGCAATCACAGAACATATACTAAGCCAGATCATATCTTGAGGCATAAAACAAACTTCAACAAACTTAAAAGATCTGAAATCATACTTAGTATTTTCTCTGACCACAATGGAATCAAACTAGTAATCAGTACAGAACGATAACAGGAAATTGTATGAACACTTGGAAACTAAACAACACTCTTCTAAATAATCCATGACTCAAAAGATAAAGTCTCACGGGAAATTTTTTTTTTAAATGAAAAGAAAATCAGTTAAGAAACTTTTAAGAAAATTGAACTGGTAATTTAATAACTCCCCAAAAAAGAAATCTCCAGGTCCAGATGGTATCACTGGAAAATTCTACCAAATTTTTAAAGCAGAATTAACAGCAATTTTATACAATCTCTTCCAGGAAATAGACAAATACAACTCCTAAATCATCTTATGAAGCTAGTGTTATCTTAGTATGAAAACTACAGTGCCAAAAAAAAAAAACTACAAACCAATATCCCTTATTAAGATAGATCAAAAATTCTTAACTCTGTCTCATAAATCTATAAGAAAACTCCTAGTACTATTAAGTTAGCTCATCAAGACGACAGGATACATGATAAAAATACAAAAATCTATTTGTGTTTGTATATACAGTCAGTCCTCCTTACCTATGTGGGTTTAAGGACTCTCTATGGATGCCTGAAACCACAGATAGTACCAAACCCAACTGATGTCTGTTGGAACACACTTCCGTTCATATCTTCTACCCACAAATGTACTGTCTTCTATCTTAACTAAGCAGTTATCATGCACTGTGGCTGTAACTTTTTTAGTCTGAGCAAAACTAACACAAATTTCTTTTTCCTTCCTCACATTTTCATGGGCAAAAAAATCCCTTCTAAATGCAGATTTTAATAATCTCTGCATACATTTTTTAATTTCCTTATTAAGTCAAGAACTTTTACCTTTTCACTTAAAGGAAGTTCTTTTTGGCTTATCTTTGGGCTATCCAAATTGCCAGCATCACAGCTCTTGTGTTTTGGAGTCATTATTTATTTATTTTTTGAAGTCAGGGTCTCTCACTCTATCACCCAGGTTGTAGCGCAGTGGCACAATCACAACTCCCCACAGCCTTGACTTCCTGGGCTCAGGCAATCCTCTACAGGCATTCACCACCACACCTAGTTACGTTTTTTATTTCTTTGTAGAGACAAGATCTCGCTATATTGCCCAGGCTGGTCTCAAGTTCCTGGACTCAAGCATTTCTCTCGGCCTATCAAAGTGCTGTAATTACAGGCATGAGCCACCACACCCAGACCTTATTAATCAAAATAAGGGTTACTTGAACACAAGCACTTCGAAACCACTACCATCAATCTGATAACCTCAACTGTTACTAAGTGACTAATGGGCGGGCACCATACAAAGCATGGATATGCTTAACAAAAGAATGATTTATGTCCCACGTGGGACAGAGCAGGATGAAGCTGGATGGCTTGAGATTTCATTATGCTACTCAAAACAACATGCAATTTAAAATGGATGAGTTGTTGATTTCTGAAATTTTCCATCTAATATTTTCAGACTTCAGTTGGCTGTAGGTAACTGAAACTACAGAGTAAAACTGTGGATGGGGTGACTACTGTACAGGACTGTATGCTGTAGGAAAAAAAAAGACAATCTAAATAAATGGAGTGACATGCTACGTTCATGGACAAAGAAAACTAATGGCCACCAAATACAATAACCAACTCAGAAAGGATTAACAATGTCAAAACCATTAGAAGGCTGACAAAAAGACATTTACAGAGCCTTATAAAACCACCTCACAAATTAAATATAAATTTAAAAGGGAAAAGGTATCTTTACAATGGAGAGATCAGAAGGTCACCATCTTAACTCAAACTTAAAAACTTACAATCACCAATAAGTGGATAAATTGATAACGTATGCATCCTGATAGGATGTAGTGGGAAGTACACTCACCATGTAGTATTCTTGCTAAAAATGTTGAACCTGAACAGAAATCATCAGACAAATCCAGAATGTAAGACATTCTATAAGTCAATAGTACTTATCCAAAAAAAAAAAAAAAAAAATCACTGTTAAAACCAAAAAGACAGCAGAGGTCATTGTAAACTAGAAGACGCTAAAGACACATAACTAAATGCAATGTGTGAACTTCAACCAGATATGGGATTGGGAGGAGGAGGAAAATAGCCATAAGAGATGTTCTTTGGGACAACTGAGTATGGATCTGCATATGAATCTGCATATCAGTGATATTAATGAATTACTGTTACGTTTCTTAGGTGTGATAATGGCTTTGATAATGATTTTTAATCTAGAACAATGTCATTTACAGGAGAAGCATGCTGAATTTCTTAGGGGTGAAGTGTCATGATGTCTGCATTCAATTCTAAATGACTCAGCAAAACAAAATGTATATAAGGTATACCTAGATATACATATAAATGCAGATATAGTAAAGTAAATATAGTTTAAAAATATCAACCAGGAAGCTAAATGAAAAGTATAGAGATACTTACTTTATTAGTCTTACAACCTTCTTGTAGACGAGAAAAGTTTTTAAATAAAACTCTAGGGAAAATTTAACATGCTAATATTTGTTAATACTAGAAAATATTAAAATGTGCATATGATCCAGCAGTTGCACGTCTCTAAATTTCCCCTAAAGAAACACTCATCCTTGTGTACAAGAATACATAAAGGTGATGGCCTATATGTAATTACATATGATTATATTACATACTACTGTGACCATTCAGCTAGGTGCAATGGCTCAAACCTGTAACCTCAGCACTTCAGGAGGTCAAGGCAGGAGGATCACTTGAGGCCAGGAGTTCAAGACTAGACTGGGCAATGTAGCAAAACATCATCTCTACAAAATATTTAAAAATAGTCAGGCATGATAGTACATGCCTGTAGCCCCAGCTACTTGTGAGGCTGAGGCAGAAGGATTGTGTGAGCCCAGGAGTTAAAGGCTGCAGTGAACTATGACTGCAGCACTGCACTCCAGCTTGGGTGACAGAGTAAAAACTCTGTCTCTAAAACAAAAAAAAAAGTTGTGACTTTTATCTTGAAGCAGCAGCCATGCTGGTAGGCCTACATGGCAAGCAATTGAAGGCAGCTCTAATAGCTAAAGGCAGCCTACGGTTGATAGTATGAAAGTGAAACCCTCAGTCACAAAAATTCAACAGCAAGAAAATGAATTCTGCCCACAACCACACATGAGCTCGAGAGAAGATCCCTTTACCAGGCAAGCTTCAGATGAGACAGCAGCCTTAGCAGTCACATTCACTGCAACCCCATGAATTTCAGATGAGAGAACTCAGCTAAGTCATGCCAAGACTCCTGACCCACAAAAACCATGAGATAATAAATTTGTGTTGTTTTAAGCCATTAGGTTTGTAGTAACACTGTTATGCAACATAAGAAAACTAAAATAGCACAGATAAATGAGTACTCACATAAACATGAACTCACATAAAAAACAACAAATATTCTATAAAAACAAAGCGATATTGAAACAAATACTATATTTAAAAGACTAGATAAGTTAGACAGCAGAGGGAAAAAATGAACAAGTACATAGTTTAGTGATAGAAAGCAGTCATTTGGAAAGAAAACTAACAGCTGAAGGAGTGAGAAGAGTAGAACCAAGTAATTTCTGAAAAAAAAAGTTAATGTTTGTTTTTAATAAAAGCTGTTATAAAAATGTATGACAATGTACTTTGCTCACCCAACTCATAACTTGAAGAAATCTCTGTGGATAGAACACATTTTCCACATCTAGTAAAGTGAGATAAGACTGAACTGCATAGAGCCTTAATTGTTGATCTTCTGTTTCATCATCAAAACCTACAAAGAAATTGATATGCCGTTTTAATTTTCACTAAATTCTCTAAGGACTCTGTAATAAAAACATTTAATTTTAAAACCTTTACAGAATGTAATAGTTTACCAACCTTCCGCTAGCAGTCTCAGAAAGTTATTGGGAATATCAGGATGCATAACATCTCCTCCCACTGAAAACACAGCATTCATTGTCTGAATAAACCAGGCATTATCAGGAGCATATGTGTCCACAGTGTTAAGAATAGGTACACTTCCAAATGCCACATATTAACATTATCTTTCTGTAGCAACCTTTAAAAAATAACCCCAATTCATCATAGTATGGCATTTTTACCTTTAACCTCTGCCATAACTTGTTCTATACTTGTTTTATGTAAAACAGGTGCTCAGTGTAAGTTATTTAATAAACTGAGTTTACCTCACTTTAGCACTAGACTTGTACATAAAATAGGCATCCAATAAATAAATGTGAAATAATTGAAAAAAATGAACCAGCTAACTAGGGACAAATAAACAACAGAAAATTATATACACTTTAAAGAGGCTAAATATTGTGGTGCGTCTACTTGAACAAGTTGTCTAAACTCTTTTATAATCTGTTCCTCATCCACTCTAAAATTCTATCATTCTGCTGGCCAGACCTATATAGCACTAATACAACACTACACTTAAGAAATTTCCAAAAAAACTTTGATTAACATTATCCACTCATTCTTTCTTAGAATTTAACAACAGACTTTTTAAAAGAGTGGAATATCCTTATGACCTGTAAAGTTCCTCTGACTTTTGAAAAACAAAGATGAAGAAAAGTAACATGTAATAGAGTTCCTAACTGCTTTATTGTGACAATTTCCAACATTAACAATAATGCAAAGGATAAGCTGTAACACACACCCTCTACCTCCCCTAAAAAAACAAAAACTTTATTTGGAAAAGAAACTGAGTAAGAAATAAAGGCAAAGACGAGGAGGAACTAGAAGAGGAACCTGGTAGAGGTCCCTATAACTTTTTTTTTTTTTTTGAGTTAGAGTCTCACTCTGTCACCCAGACTGGAGTGCAGCGGCATGCTCCCGGCCACCGCAGCCTCGACCTGCTGGCCTGTAGTGATCCTTCCACCTCAGCCTTCCAAGCAGCCAGAACTATAGGCGTGACTACCACACCCAGCTAATTTTTGATTTACTATAGAGACAAGGTCTTGCCAAGTTGCCCAGGTGGGTGGGTCTCGAACCCGTGGGCTCAGGCAATCCACTCACCTCAGCCTCCCAAAGTGCTGGGATTACAGGTTGAGCCACCGAACCCGGCCCCCCTGTAACTTCTTGCTCAAGATACTGACTACCTAAATGAAAGAAACCACACAAAAAACCATCTGTTCCTGTTTTTGACAAGAGAGCTTGGAAATCAGGAATGAAAATTATTTCTGGGTCTCTGAATTCAACTTGAAAGTGATCATATCTACCCCAATTATTCTAAAATCACTATGTAACTAAGTATTTAAAGACTCATAGTCCAAACAAAGGATATTTCTCAGCCAGCTCAGCTATTTTACCAACCAAATTGACGATGACATACTCTTCTTTGCTCTGATGTAAATATTCAAGCATTTTCTGAATGATAACTGTTATATTCTGTGCATTTGTAATTCTGTAAAGAAGTTCCAGGGTCTATTTAAAGAAATTAAAAACAGTATTATAAAACTGTGCATAACAATAATAAATACAGTAACATGTAGGTTCATATAGTTTTATCATAAAGTTGATCTTCTTTTTTCATTTTTAAAGAGCAGAGTCTCACTCTGTTGCCCAGGCGGGAGTGCAAAGGCACAATCATGGCTCACTGATGCCTTGACCCCTTGAGCTTTAGCCTCTGCAAACAGCCTCCAGCCTTAGCCTCCCAAACAGCCAGGACTACAGGTTTGCACTACCGCACCTACTTAATTTTTTATTTATTGTAGAGATGGGGTCTGTATGTTGCCCAGGCTGGTCTTGAACTCCAGGCCTCAAGTGATCCTTCCACCTTGGCCTCTCAAAGTGCTGGGATTACAGGCATCAGTCACCACAGCCAGTCCAACTCATCTACTTTTATGTAGATCTACTAGGCAGTCGATTAATAGGTAATCAAGAAATGCAAATTTCAACAAAAAGCTTCAGAAAAGTAAAACTATTGTCAAAAAAATGAATTATGATCAATTCCAAAGTCTAAAAGCTTTCTACTGAAACAGACAATTATGATCTGACATTTCTACAAGACAGAACATATAAAGACTAAGAAGTTAAAAAGTTTAGTTTTCTAAAAACCAAACAGCTTATGCCTATGAACACATGTATATGCACATGTATGTACGTGAGTGTGTATAAATCCAGTGCTACAAACTGTGTTTCCCACATTACCTGAACAACAGAAAATAGCACTTGAGTGGGTTTGGCAACTTAGGGCAAACTGCCTCTAATGGACAGATAGAGGTTAGTGGCTCAAGTATTTCAAAACCTAGTAAAGCCTACACTCTGAATCTCATGTAACCAAGGAAGAACAGTTTATACCTACTTTCTAAGTACTGAGGAATATTCCTCTTGCAGAGTCAAATAAGATAAAAGAAGACCAGTACTAGAGTAAGCTCCCATTTGGCTGGCATTCCAAAGCTCTAGATTAAGGTTCTAAAAATATAATTCCCAGAAATCAATATAAGTTCAAAGTCAATACTGAGAAACCATCAATTACCAATGTTTCAGAATCAGCAATATTAGCTGCAAGAGAATTTCCACAGATCTTACTTGCCAAACTTGCTTGAAAATATCTTTAGAGTTCTTTCTAATTTTGCAACCCTAACAGATTGAACTTTAAGTACAAAGGGTAACATTTTGAAAGATTTTATAACTGTTTTAGTTCAGGTTTAACTCCATTTAAATCTATAAATACATAGGTCTCCTCCATCAATTTATGGGAGCTGCTCCAGACATGTGTCCTGTGGATTCCTAGTGTTATATATGTTTAGATAATATATACCACATGTATTTCCTACTCTAAGACCCTGAAATCTGGCATTTCCAGGACTGAATTGGGTATAGTGTTAGCAACCATATTGCTGGCGGGCTTTTCTGTTCAGTTTTGGTAGTTCCCTCTTGCTGGACCAGAGTTTATTGATAGAGGTTCTAAGTGACAACAGCATTGCACAGACAGTACTTCAGTGTCTTCTTTGGGCACCACTGATACACACCACCTTCCCCAAAAAGTTCAAACTACCTTTTTCACTGCAGGTAGTAGACCAAACAGGTCCAACTTGATATTTTTTAAAGCTGCCTATTTTTTCTTTGATGCTCATTTTAAAGTGAGAACCCAATTATTAAATATAATAGTCCTCCATCTCCTCTGTAGTTTTACTTTCCAGTTTCAGTTACATACAATCAACTGAAGTCCAAAAATATTAAATGGATAATTCCAGAATCAATAATTCATAAGTTTTAAATGGCACATCATTCTGAGTAGCAAAATAAAAGCTCAGACCATTCCACGCCATTCCACATGGGATACAAATCATTACTTTGTCTAGCGTATCTATGCTGTATAAAACTACCTGTCAGTAGCTATCTGGATTATCGGACTGAAAAAACATAATATACATAAGGTTTAGTACTATCTGTGATTTCAGGCATTCACTGTGTGTCTTGGAACATATCACCATGGATAAGGAAGGACTACTGTATAAAAGAAGAAAACTGTACCTAAGTCAACCTTGTTCAACTTAGTAGTCAACTACACACAGGAAATGCATGCTCTGTATCTGCATCTGTTAAAGTGCAAAGGCCACGTAAGTATCTGTCATTGTATCTCAAAGCCTTCTCATTTTTCTACAATGCCTGCCTACACACAGGAATTAGAATATATGCAAACTTCCCAGACTCATTTAAAACACGTAACAATTTTCATATGCTTAAAAAAATGAATTAAAAAATATATGTAAGCCGGGCTCGGTGGCTCAGCCTGTAATCCCACACCTTTGGGAGGCTGAGGTGAGTGGATTGCCTGAGCCCACGGGTTCGAGACCCGTCTGGGCAGCGAGATCTCATCCCTACAATAAATCAAAAAATCAGCCGGGCGTGGTAGCACATGCCTGTAATTCTGGCTACGCGGAAGGCTGAGGCGGAAGGATCACCGGAGTCCAGCAGGTCAAGGCTGTGGTGGCCGGGAGCAGCCACTGCACTCCAGTCTGGGCGACAGAGTGAGACTCCAACTCAAAAAAAAAAAAAAAAAAAAAAAAAAAAATATATATATATATATATATATATGTATGTATACATATGAAGGCAAATTTCTCAAAAATATATTTCTTTCAAAAATACATTTTAAAATTCAAAATTAGTAATCCTCAAAAATTAAAATTGTTTAATACAATATAGTGTCCTCTCAATACTCTATTTTTAACTTGTTGCTTTTAAGATATTTAGATGTTTGGCAAACTCTCTTTTTTAAAATCCTTATTATTCTCTTACTTTTCTTTTTTTTCTCTTTTTTAATTTTTTTTTTTTTTTCAGTCATAGTCCCACTCTGTCGCCCAGGCTGGAGTGCAGTGGCATGATCATGATCACTACGATCATGGCTCAGGGCAGCCTCTACCTCCTGGTCTCAGGTGATTCTTCCACATCAGCCTCCCGAGTAGCTAGGACCACAGGCATGTGAAACCATGTCCAACTAATTTTTTAACTTTTTGTAGAGACGAGGTCTCACTATGTTGCCCAGTTTATCTTGAACTCCTGGACTCAAACAGTCCTTTCACCCAGAGTGCTGAGATTACAGGTATGAATCACTGCACCTGGTCTTTATTTTATAACCAGAAATAGAACTTTTTACTCTTAAATAGGTCCCATATACTGTTCTAAATGAATATACAGAGTAATGTCTTATATAAGAGTAAATATTTATATAGACACCCAAGTAGACCCTGAAGCAATTTTATTAAAGGAAAAAGTTACATCTTTCCTTCCAAGACATTCAAATAATCTTATAAGTATCTTCATTAGTTCTTTCAATATCCTCATTATGTAATAGGGAACTCATTAACTCATTTTATAGATGTAAAAAAGAAAAGGCCCAGTGCAGTGGGGTCAAGCCTATAATCCCAGCACTTTAGGAGGTCGAGGTGAGGGGATCACCTGAGCCCAGGGGTTCAAGACCAGCCTGGGCAACTTGGCAAGACCTCATCTCTACAATAAATCAAAAACTTAGCCAGGCATGGTAGCACATGCCTGTAGTTCTGGCTACTTGGAAGCCTGGGGCAGAAGGATCGCCTGAGCCCAGCAGGTTGATGGTGGGGAGGCCGTGAGCGTGCTACCACACTCCAGCCTGGGTGACAGAGTAAGACTCCAACTCAAAAAAAAAGAAAATAAAAAAAAGAATAGAAAAAAATATTATTTATCATAAATTACATCTTAAATTGTGTAATAATAACAGGACTATGTCTTCACGTGTACTAACAGGAAGACCCAGGACCAAAATTCAGGTCTCCTATTGGTACAATGCTCAGATCAAAAAAATATTAATGAACTCACACAGGTAACTAAAACAAACCCCTACAACTCATCATTTTAAAACATTCCTGCAGACGTTAGCACAATACTTTTTTAGAAACGCTACCTAAACTTTAGTAAAAATAATTAAATGCATTTGAATGTTAAAATATAAATACATACACACACACACATACAGTCCACCATTTTAATCTCTCTCCAGAATACCAACAAAAAGTTTAAAATTTTAGACACTTCATGTACATTATTCAAAATATCATTTTACCTCTCTTTTAATCATGGGATCAGAATGATCTAAACATTCAATTATTGTCATCTGGTGTTGCAGAGCCAGAGAAGGATCCTGTTGGATAACATAAGTAAGAGCCTTCAGTCCTAGAAACAAAGATTATATTATACAAAGTGAATTGAAACAAATACTCAGCAAATTCAAAAGCTCTATAATTTCTATCAAAATAACCAATCATCTTACCCAAATACTTCAGATTTATTTTAGGTGATAGAACAAATTTTCCAATGCACTTGGCAGCCTTCTCAAGTAATTCCGATTTAGGATAAATAGAATAGACTGTATGTACACATTCAAACAAAATTGCTAGAGGAAAAAAAAGTAAAAATGGCAGGATCATGGTACGGTATAAAAAAAGAACATATTTGTGTAGAACTAGTAATAAAATAACTGGAAACTCAGTTTTAGCAAAAATCTTATTTATAGAATTTTAAAAGAAACAAACTTTACTGCTTTCAAGTTTACAGTTAGTAAGACTAAGTTACCACAATACAATTTTAAAAGAATTACATTTACTAATAGATAATAATAATATATTCATTCATAGGACAAGTATTTACTGAACATCTCCTATGTGCCAGGCATGGTTTTAGTACTATGGATATAGCAGTGAACAAAACACACAACAAAATCCCACCCTCAATTTCCCATTCTAATGGATACATAAATAACATTTTCATTGCTCCTATATAGATATTTCCAACATGCCTTGAATGCTTTAAAGTGGTTTATTCTCAAGTAGTTTCTAAAATTTATACACAGAAATTGCATATGTAGTTTATTTCAGTGTAGTTTATTTCAACATTTTATAGGATGATCTAGCATTTATTTCAAAAATATTCTTACTCAAAAATTTTCAAACTACTCTGAAACTAACTTTGAACAATCTATTGAACATCTTGATGGTGTTCAAATTTGATTTTTTGATACAGTCAAAATTCTAATAACTATGACAGATTAAATTTTTTCACATTATTTTAAAAAACATGAATCAAAGAGTTGGAGGTTTGCCATGGTAAAGAAGAATCACTGAGACACCATTACGTTCTGTATGTCTTACAGCAGGGGTCCTCAACCCTTGGGTCACAGACCATTACTGGTCAGTGGACTGTAAGGAACCAGGCCACACAGCAGGAGGTGAGTGACAGACGTTTCATCTGTATTTACAGCCTCTCCCCATTGCTCGTATAACCACCTGAACTCTGCCTCTTGTCAGATCAGCAGTTGCTAGATGCTCATAGGAATGTGAATCCTATCATGAACAGCGCAAGCAAAGGATCTCAGATGCATATGGACTCCTTAAGAGAATCTAACACCTGATGATGTGAGGTGGAGCTGAGGCAGTGATGCTAGCGCTGGAGAGTGGTTGTAAATACAAATTAACATCAGCAGTGAGGTTTGGCTGCACAGAGACCATAATAAATCAACTGCTTGCAGACTAATATCAAAACTCTGTCAGCGAATAGCAAGTGAGTTGATATACTTCAGGTGCATCTGGTGGCAGGCTTTAAGTCAGAATCCTACACTTATTTTAGTCCATGTGTGGCCCATCCATTATTTTATTTGCCATTTCCATCTACGCCTCTTTCCCACACTGCACACTTGTCTCAGTCACAGTTTTGCTATAACCCTAGCCAAAATGAGTAAAAAACAAACGTCTTTGGAGAACTTCTTAGAAAATGGGGAGGCACACGATGAGAAAGCAGAAGACTCTTAAGACTGTAGCAGGGCTCGGTGGCTCAGCCTGTAATCCCGCGCCTTTGGGAAGCTGAGGTGAGTGGATTGCCTGAGCCCGCGGGTTCGAGACCCGTCTGGGCAGCAAGACCTCATCTTACAATAAATCAAAAAAA